TGATGGCTTCAGCAAGCTCCCAAAATAAAGAATCAATAAATTCTCTGGAGGAAGAGAACTTCTTGGAATTACCAGAGGCAGAATACAAAAGATTAATATACAGAACTCTTCTAGAAATTAGACAGGAAATTCGACAAAATACAGAAACTGCCAGGGAACACACAAAGTAGTAGCGGAACTTAAAAAAGTTATTCAAGAACAAAACGACAAATTTAATAGGCTGCAAGAATCCATAGAGAGACAGCAATTAGAAATCCAGAAGATTAAAGATAAAATTTCAGAATGAGACAACTCAATAGAAAGTCATAGCAGCAGAACTGAGGCAGTAGAAGTTAGAATTAGTGACATTGAAGATAAAGCACTACACGCCAACTTATTTGAGGAAAAATCAGATAAAAGAATTAAAAAGAATAAGGAAACTCTAAGAGTCATGTGGGACTCTATCAAGAGAAATAACCTATGAGTGATTGGAGTATCAGAACAGGGGGGATAACACAAAATACAGAGAAAATTGTTGAAGATTTGTTGACAAAAAACTTCCCTGATATCATGAAAGATGAGAAGATATCTATCCAAGATGCTCATCGAACCCCACATAAGGTAGATCCCAAAAGAAAGTCACCAAGACATATTATAATCAAACTTACCAAAATCAAAGATTAAGACAGAATTTTAAGAGTGGCCTGGGATAAAAAAAAAGTCATCTAACAAAGGAGAGTCAATTAGGATAAGCTCTGACTACTCAACAGAAACCATGCAGGCAAGAAGGCAATGGGATGACATATATAAAGCCTTGAAGGAAAACAACGGCCAGCCAAGAATTATATATCCAGCAAAACTGTCTCTCAAATATGATGGCAAAATTAGGGCATTTCCAGATAAACAGAAGTTCAGGGAATTTGCAAAAACCAAACCAAAATTACAAGAAATACTAAAGGGAGTCCTACAGTTAGATAATAATACCAGATAACAACGCAAGACTAGAACACAGGACAGAGCAACTATATATTGGCTCAGATAGGGAAGTCGAAAATACATCAAAGCTGAAACACTGAAAATAGGGAAACAGAGATATCAATATGTAAAAAAGGACAACATTAAAACAAAAAAGAGGGACTTATCATAGGGGAACATGTGTAGTAACTGTTAAATGACAAACTATTTTGTTCTGTAAGCCTTCATCTTGAGAATAGCAGCACGATTGAAAGAGCGTAGTCAATGTCACTGAACTGTGCATGTAGAAATTTTTGAAACGGTGTATCTTTGGCTATGTGTATTTTCACCAAAAAAAAAAGGTTG